CATGATTCGAAAGCCCTGGAATTGTCTGGAAGGGGATGCAAACCAGGTGAAATGCAAAGCTCTGTCTGCGCGGGATGTAGGATTTCATGCTGACGACCACAGAACAGAATAGAAATCCTCTTCCTTTCCATTCTCCATTCATTTACTCGGGAGGGAGAGCCCAGCCTGTGCTCAGCTTCAAAAACTTCCCTAACGCCACCGCATGGGAGGCGGGACGGAGTGCTCAGGCTTAAACAGCCGGGATGCGGGTGCGGAGGCGGAGACTGAGGTCCCAGCTACTCAGGAAGCAACAGAGGGAGGATGGCTGAGCCTGTGGGTCCAGGCCAGCCTGGACGGCACAGTAGCACCCCTTCCCGCAGGGCTTCCTTCCTTTTTTAAAAAATCTTTTTAAAATATAATTAAAGGGCCGGGCGTGGTGGCTCACTCCTGTAATCCAAGCACTTTGGAGGCCAAGGCGGGTGGATCACCTGAGGTCGGGAATTCAAGACCAGCCTGACCAACATGGTGAAACCTCGTCTTATTAAAAAAAAAAAAAAGCATGAGCCAGACGCACACATTTGTAGTCTCAGCTACTCAAGAGACTGAGGCTGCAAACTCGCATGAACCTGGGAGGCTGAGTTTGCGGTGAGCGGAGAAAACTGCACTGCACTCCAGCCTGGGTGACAGACTCCCATCTTAAAAAAAAAAAAAAATTTGCCCGGCTCGGTGGCTCAAGCCTGTAATCCCAGAACTTTGGGAGGCCAAGGCGGGTGGATCACGAGGTCGAGAGACCGAGACCATCCTGGTCAACATGGTGAAACCCCGTCTCTGCTAAAAATACAAAAAATTAGCTGGGCATGGTGGCGCGTGCCTGTAATCCCAGCTACTCGGGAGGCTGAGGCAGGAGAATTGCTTGAAGCCAGGAGGCGGAGGTTGCGGTGAGCCGAGATCACGCCATCGCACTCCAGCCTGGGTAACAAGAATGAAACTCCGTCTCAAAAAAAAAAAAAAATTTACTTCAGGAAACAGAGAAAATACATCTTACAGTGTAAATTGAATAGAAAAAAACAAAACCCTTATCTAAGTCAGAAAGAAAGAAGTAAAATTATATTTGTTTGTAGATAACATGATCTTCTATCCAGAAAATTACAGAATGGGTGCAGTGACTCATGCATGTATCCCAGCACTTTGGGAGGCTGAGGTGGGCAGATCACCTGAAGTCAGGAGTTTGAGACCAGCCTGACCAACATGATGAAATCCAGTCTCTACTAAAAATACAAAAAAAGTAGGTGAGCATGGTGGCGGCACCTATAATCTGATCTACTTGGGAGACTGAAGCAGGAAAATCACTGGAACCCGGGACACGGAAATTGCGGTGAGCTACAATTGTGCCATTGCACTCCAGCCAGGAAAAGATGGAAACTCCATCTCAAAAAAATAAAGAAAAAAGAAAACAGAAAAAAAGAAAATCAAAAAGAATCAACAAAAATACTATACTACTGGTACTAATCAACAAATTCACTATACTTGCAGTATAGAAAACTAGCACCAAAAGTTTGTTGAATTCCCATATATTAACAATAATTTTAAAAGAATATTAAGAACACACTTGCATTTGCTAGACAACTTAAAATACGAAACACTTCGGAATAAACTTAAGGAAGTGAGAACTTTGTACCTTGAAATCTACAAACATTGATAAAAAAAAACTAAGTGGAGATACAACCATTTTAATGGATTGGAAGCATTAATATTGTTAAATGATTATAAAAACCAATGATTTAGATTTCACAAAATACCCATAAAAATCCCTATCATGCCGGGCGCTGTGGCTCAAGCCTGTAATCCCAGCACTTTGGGAAGCCGAGGCGGGTGGATCACGAGGTCAAGAGATCGAGACCATCCTGGTCAACATGGTGAAACCCCGTCTCTACTAAAAATACAAAAAATTAGCTGGGCCTGGTGGCGCGTGCCCGTAATTCCAGCTACTCAGGAGGCTGAGGCAGGAGAATTGCCTGAACCCAGGAGGCGGAGGTTGCGGTGAGCCGAGATCGCGCCATTGCACTCCAGCCTGGGCATCAAGAGCGAAACTCCATCTCAAAAAAAAAAAAAAAAAAAAAAAATCCCTATCATTTTTTTTTTAAAGAAAGAAAAAACAGACTGGGTAAGTGGTTCACATCTCTTCTCCAGGCTGGTCTCAAACCCCTGACCTCAAGTAATTTATCTGCCTTGGCCTCCTAAAGTGTGGAAATTACAGATGTGAGCCACTACGCCCAGCCCAATCCTCTTAATATAAATATAAATTTATATATTTATAATATAAATATTGACTTTAATGTCAATTAATGCTTGAACTCAATGTTAAGTCAACTCAAAATCAAGTCAATGCTGCACTGACTCTAATGTCAATTATGCTTGATGGTTTGCTATAGTTATTGAATTTGGAACAATTATCTCAAAAATGAAATTTCTGGGCCGGGCGCGGTGGCTCAAGCCTGTAATCCCAGAACTTTGGGAGGCCGAGGCAGGTGGATCATGAGGTCAGGAGATCGAGACCATCCTGGTCAACATGGTGAAACCCCGTCTCTACTAAAAATACAAAAAATTAGCTGGGCATGGTGGCACGTGCCTGCAATCCCAGCTACTCAGGAGGCTGAGGCAGGAGAATTGCTTGAACCCAGGAGGTGGAGGTTGCGGTGAGCCAAGATCGCACCATCGCACTCCAGCTTGGGTAACAAGAGTGAAACTCCGTCTCAAAAAAAAAAAAAAAAGAAATTTCTGATGTTCTGCAAGGAGTGACTTCATACTGAAGACCTTGCCACACTTACAAAATTTGTAATAGTTCTGTCCAGTATGGATTCTCTGATGTCTAATAAGGTGTGAATGTGAAGTAAAAACTGCCATAATTATCACACTTACGATGTTTCTCTCCTGTATGAATTCTCCTATGTTTTGCATAAGATGAAGCTTGACTGAAGACCTTGACACAATCATATTTGTAAGGTTCCTCTCAAGTTCACCAATGAACTGCAAGGTATAAACGATGTCTGAAAAATTGGCCACATTTGTTACACTTGTAAGATCTCTCTTCATTATGGATTCTCCAGTGATTTGCAATGGTTGTAGAGTTACTGAAGGCTTTGTGACAATCATTACATTAGCAAAGTTTTCCTATACCGTGGATTGTCTGATGGTGAATAAGTGTTGACTGCCTATTAAAGGCTTTGCCACACTCACTACACTTGTATGGTTATTCTTCACTGTGAACATAGTATGTAGTCCCAAGTATGAATCACGCCCAAAAGTCTTGTCACAAACCTTACATTTGTACAGTTTCTCTCCAGGATGAATTCTGTGTCTTTCATGTTGTTATTTGCAACTGAAAATTTTGTCACATTAAGGTTTCTCTTCAGTATAAAGTCTATGATGACGTGCAAGGTGTGCTTGTTGATTAAAAACCTTACCACGTTCATAAGGTTTCTCTTCAGTATTAAGTCCATGATCATGTGCAAGGGATGATTTCTGACTAAAGGTCTTGATACATAAATTACACTTATAAGGTTTCTCTCCAGTATGAGACAATTTAATTATTAAGTGCCACATAAATTACACTTGTTTCTCTCCAGTAGGAGAAAACTTAATTATTAAGGGCCACATAAATTACACTTGTAAGGTTTCTCTCCAGATTTACAATGGTTTACAAGGAATGATGTCTGACTGAAGGTCTTGCCACATAGATTACACTAGTAAGGTTTGTCTCCAGTATGAAGTCTATGATGGCATAGAAGCAGTAACATCTGACTGAAGGTCTTGCCACACTCATTACACTTGTAAGGTTTCTCATCAGTGTGACATCTATGATGGCATGCAAGGTATCACTTCTGATTAAAGACCTTGCCACATACATCACAGTTATATTGTTTCTTTCCTGAATGAATTATTTGATGTTCCCTTAAGAGTGAGCTATAATTAAAGGCTTTGCCACCCTCATTATATTGGAAATATTTTTCTCTCCTTTGTACTTTTTGTGTGAGTAATGAAAAATGAAGGAAGTTATTCCCATAGTTATTAGAAACAGGGGTTTTGGGCCTACAAGAAATTCTTTGGGATGATGAAACAGAGAAAGCATCATTGATAGAATTCTCTACTTGATTACCAAATTAAATTTTCCTATGTCTTTCAAAGTGTTATTTCCGACTAAAAGCTTTATCACATTCTTCATATTCGTAATCCTTCTCTCCAGTATGAAGTCTATCATGATGTGCAAGGCTAAATTTTTTATTAAAAACCTTGCCACATTCATTACACTTGCAAGGGTTCTCTCCAGTATGAAGTCTATGATCAACTGAAAGTCTTGACTGGTGATTAAAAACCTTACCAAATTCAATACAGTTGTAAGGTTTCCCTCCAGTATGAACTGCCTTCTGAATTACAAGAGATGACGTCCAACGGAAAGTCTTTCCACCCTTATTTCACTTGCAAACTTTGTCTCCAGTATAAGTTTGCCAACGTACTGCAAGGTATAAACGAGGTGTGATTTGGGGCTGAAAACTGTCACATTCTTCACATTTGTAAGGTTTATCTCAAGTATGAAGTCTATGATGATGTGCAAGGTTTGATTTTTGATTAAAAACCTTGCCACAGGCCGGGCGCGGTGGCTCATGCCTGTAATCCCAGCACTTTGGGAGGCCGAGGCGGGTGGATCACGAGGTCAAGAGATCGAGACCATCCCGGTCAACATGGTGAAACCCTGTCTCTACTAAAAATACACAAAAAATTAGCTGGGCATGGTGGCGCGTGCCTGTAATCCCAGCTACTCAGGAGGCTGAGGCAGGAGAATTGCCTGAACCCAGGAGGCAGAGGTGGCGGTGAGCCGAGATTGCACCATTGCACTCCAGCCTGGGTAACAAGAGTGAAATTCCATCTCAAAAAAAAAAAAACAAAAAAAAAACCTTGCCACATTTATTAGACTTGTAAGGTTTTTCTGCAGTATCAACTGCCTTATGAACTGAAAGACCTGAATTTTGAGCAAAGGTCTTGCTCCACTAATTACACTCGTAAGGTTTTCCCCCAGTGTGAATTCTAGTATGCTTTTTCAGGTATGAATTACACGCAAAAGCCTTGTCACAAATCTTACATTTGTATGGTTTCTCTCCCGTATGTATTCTCTTGTGTGTTTCAAGGTGTGATTTGCGAGTGAAAACTTTGTCACATTTTTCACATTTGTAAGGTTTCTCTCCAGTATGAACTCTCCCATGTGTTAGAAGATAGGATTTGCGACTGAAAACTTTGTCACATTCTTCACATTTGTAAGGTTTCTCTCCAGTATGAAGCCTATGATGACGTGCAAGTGTTGCTTGTTGATTAAAAACTTTGCCACACTCATTACACTTGTAAGGTTTCTCTCCAGTATGAAGTCTATGATGACGTGCAAGGCTTGACTGTTGTTTAAAAACCTTGCCACACTCAGTACACTTGTAAGGTTCCTCCCCAGTATGAATTGCCTTATGAATGACAAGGGCTGAAGTGTGACCGATGATCTTGCCACACACATTACACTTGTGAGGTTTCTCTCCAGTATGAATTGCCTTATGAAGTACGAGAGCTGAATTGTGATGGAAGGTTTTGCCACACTCGTTACACTTGTAAGGTTTCTCTCCAGTATGAAGTCTACGATGGCATACAAGGGATGACGAGTGACTGAAGGTCTTTCCACACTCATTACACTTATAAGGTTTCTCTCCAGTATGAATTCGGCAATGAACTGCAAGGTATGAACGACGTCTAAAACATTTGTCACATTTATTACACTTGTAAGATCTCTCTTCATTATGGATTCGCCAATGATTTGCAATGGTTGTAGCGTTACTGAAGACTTTGTGGCAATCATTACATTTGTAAAGTTTCCCTATACCATGGATTGCTTGATGGTGAGTAAGTGTTGACTGTGCACTAAAGGCTTTGCCACACTCATTACACTTGTAAGGTTTCTCTCCAGTGTGAATTCTAGTATGTTGTGCCAGGTGTGAATCGCGCCTGAAGGCCTTGTCACAAACCTTACATTTGTAAGGTTTCTCTCCAGTATGAAGTCTACGATGGCATAGAAGGGATGATGTCTGACTGAAGGTCTTGCCACACTCATGACACTTGTAAGGTTTCTCTCCAGTATGAAGTCTACGATGGCATGTAAGGGATGACATCTGATTGAAGGTCTTACCGCACTCATTACACTTGTAAGGTTTCTCTCCAGTATGAAGTCTGTGATGACGTGCAAGGCTCGACTGTTGTTTAAAAACTTTGTCACATTCATTACACTTGTAAGGTTTCTCTCCAGTATGAATTGCCTTATGATTTACAAGGGCTGAATTTCGACCAAAAGTCTTGCCACACTCATTACACTTGTAAGGTTTCTCTCCAGTGTGAATTCTAGTATGTTGTGCCAGGTGTGAATAACACCCAAAAGCCTTGTCACAAACTTTACATTTATAAGGTTTCTCTCCAGTATGAAGTCTATGATGACTTGCGAGGTTTGATTGTTGATTAAAAACCTTGCCACATTCGTTACACTTGTAAGGTTTCTCTCCAGTATGAATTGCCTTATGAATTACAAGGGCTGAATTTTGACTGAACGTCTTGCCACACAAATTACACTTGTAAGGTTTCTCTCCAGTATGAAGTCTACGATGGCAGGTAAGTGATGACATCTGAATGAAGGACTTGCCGCACTCATTACACTTGAAAGGTTTCTCACCAGTGTGACATCTACGATGGCGTTCAAGGTATCGCTTCTGATTAAAGACCTTGCCACATAGATCACATTCTATTTGTTTCTCTCCTAAATGGACTGTCTGATGTTTCCTTAACAGTGAGCTACAATGAAAGCCTTTGCCATTCTCATTACATTGGAAAGATTTTTCTCTCATGTGATCTCCCTGTTTTTGTGTGAGTAATGAAGAATGGAGGAAATTATTGTCATAGTTATTAAAAATATAAGTCTGGGGCCTACAAAAATTTATTCGGGATGTTGAAACCAAAGAAGCATCGTTGACTAACTTCTCAACTTGATTACCAATTTTCCCTTCAGTCTGAAATATGTGCAGTTCAGGCATATGCAAATGAAAGCTCAATCCAAGCTGATCTTTAATAGGCTTGTTGCCAGCATGCCTTTGATCGTTTCGGTCTTTACTATCAGTGAACTTCTTGATCTGTGTCATGGATGCTTCATGGCTATTTCTTTCATCTTTCTGCCACTGGAACTCAAAGTCATGAATGTCTTTCTCAATTTCCTGGAAGCAAAAATCTCCAGTGTGATGACTTTTATGTGTTTCCAATGTCCCTGTGTGAAACATTTCTGTATTACCTTGTCCTGTTGATGAGCCCATCTTCACCATGCACTTGGAAGAGATATCTACAAAATATAAACATAAATAGGTTTCCAATTCAGCACATAGGGTAAATAATACTGAAATGTGTAAATATGACACAAAAAACAATGCTTATTTTAAACTTCCCAAGCATGATCTTAAAGTTTAGAAACACAAAAAAAGTGAGATTCTTTAATAAATAAAGGGCGATTATATGGACTTCATTTCTGTGAAAGCCTATTTCCAATATCATAACAAAATACTGTCAGTATTTTTACTATACACCAATAAATGCTAAAGGACCAAATAATATACTATGTTGGTAAATAATCCACAACAAGCTCATGTAAGGATATCCGAAATCCACGGAAATTCTGTATTGTCACACAATCACAGCACTCTGTAGATAAGAAAAGATTACAAAAATTCTGTGCTATCCTACAGAATCTCAGGAGAAAAGAAACAAACAAAAAAAAAGAAATGGGCCGGGCACAGTGGCTCAAGCCTGTAATCCCAGCACTTTGGGAGGCCAGGGTGGGTGGATCACGAGGTCAAGAGATCGAGACCATCCTGGTCAACATGGTGAAACCCCGTCTCTACTAAAAATACAAAAAATTAGCCGGGCATGGTGGCGCGTGCCTGTAATCCCAGCTACTCAGGAGGCTGAGGCAGGAGAATCGCCTGAACCCAGGAGGCGGAGGTTGCGGTGAGCCGAGATCGCGCCATTGCACTCCAGCCTGGGTAACAAGAGTGAAACTCCGTCTCAAAAAAAAAAAAAAAAAAAAAAGAGAGAAAGTAGAGGCAGAGCAGGCCTGGCCCAGACGCCTTGACTTAGACAAGAGCAGCAGAGCAGACCTTTCTGCCTGACACCCACACATTCTTCTGCAATTCCTGCTTTTCTTACCCCAGAGGCAAGGTTACAAAGTCAAGATAACCACAAAGAAAATACACATTTTCCTGGCCGGGCGCGATGGCTCACGCCTGTAATCCTAGCACTTTGGGAGGCCGAGGTGGGTGAATCACCTGAGGTCAGGAGTTCAATACCAGCCTGGCCATCATGGTGAAACCCCATCTTTTTTTTTTTTTTTTTTTTTTTGAGATGGAGTTTCCCTCGTTACCCAGGCTGGAGTGCAATGGCACGATCTCGGCTCACCGCAACCTCCGCCTCCTGGGTTCAGGCGATTCTCCTGCCTCAGCCTCCTGAGTAGCTGGGATTACAGGCACGCGCCACCATGCCCGGCTAATTTTTTGTATTTTTAGTAGAGACGGGGTTTCACCATGTTGACCAGGATGGTCTCGATCTCTTGACCTCGTGATCCACCCGCCTCAGCCTCCCAAAGTGCTGGGATTACAGGCTTGAGCCACCGCGCCCGGCAACCCCATCTTAAAAAAAAAAAAAGAAAAGAAAAGAAAAGAAAATATACATTTTCCCAAGATTGTAAAACCTGTCACAAGTCAATAATTGTGTCTTAGTCAGAAACCTGTTTTCTGCCTCATTTTCCTGCCTCAAGTTGTATAAAAGCAATATGTTCCTTTTGTTCAGGGCTGGTGGCCATTACGTACATTAGCCTTGCTGTCCGTCAGCGGACCAATAAATTCTCTTAGACTCTCCATGGTCTTTTTGCCCTCTTTGGCTTGAATTCCTGCAATAATATGCACCTGTGAGCCAGAATGATATCCTCCCTAGTAGGAATTTCAACACCACTGACTACTGCCTAGAGAAGACCATCAATAGTTTATGAGGTGAACGTTGTCACAGTGCCAGTGAGGGACACTTCTGTGATGCTTCTCAAAAACCAGAATGGGCCAGGCATAGTGGTTCATGCCTGTAATCCCAGCACTTTGGGAGGCTGAGGCAGGTGGATCACCTGAGGTCAAGAATTTAAGACCAGCTTGGGAAACAAGGTGAATCCTGTCTCTACTAAAAATACAAACATTAGTTAAGGGTGGTGGTGCACACTTGGAATCCCAGCTACAAAAGAGGCTGATGCACGAGAATTACTTGAAATCGGGAAGTAGAGGTTGCAGTGAGCCGAGACTGCATCACTGTAGGCCAGCCTGGGTGACAGAGAGAGGCTCTGTCTGAAAAAAAATTAAAAACAGCATGATAGCTGGAAACACTTGTGAGTCAGTGTCATGCATTCTATGTCATATCCTGGGCTATGCTGACAATTCTGTTCAGGGTTTCTAAGGGCATCTCTGCCTAGAGCAGGACAATGTTCAATCAATAACAGTCACAGGGTCTTCATCAGTTTTCTCCTTTTATGTAAACGCACTCCATAGGAGAGTCCCGTAGCAGCTATCCATGAAAAATAGGAGAGTCATCACTGCAGAAAAAAATGACATAGGGCCGGGCGCGGTGGCTCAAGCCTGTAATCCCAGCACTTTGGGAGGCCGAGGCGGGTGGATCACGAGGTCAAGAGATCGAGACCATCCTGGTCAACATGGTGAAACCCCGCCTCTACTAAAAATACTAAAAATTAGCCGGGCGCGATGGCTCAAGCCTGTAATCCCAGAACTTTGGGAGGCCGAGGCAGATGGATCACGAGGTCAAGAGATCGAGACCATCCTGGTCAACATGGTGAAACCCCGTCTCTACTAAAAATACTAAAAATTAGCTGGGCATGGTGGCGTGTGCCTGTAATCCCAGCTACTCAGGAGGCTGAGGCAGGAGAACTGCCTGAACCCAGGAGGCAGAGGTTGCCGTGAGCCGAGATCACGCCATTGCACTCCAGCCTGGGCAACAAGAGCGAAACTCTGTCTCAAAAAAAAAAAAAAATGACATGTACATCAAAAACATATATGGGGACCAGGCAAGGTGGCTTGTACCTGTATTCCCAGCACTTTGGGAAGCCAAGGATGGCAAATCATCTGAAGTCGGGAGTTCGAGACCAGCCTGACCAACATAGAGAAACCCCGTCTCTACTAAAAACACAAAATTAGCCAGGTGTGCTGGTGCATGTCTCTAGCCCTTCAGCTACGTGGGAGGCTGAGGCAGAAAAATCACTTGAACCAGAGGTTGCAGTGAGCAAAGACTGTGCCATTGCACTGCAGCCTGGGCAACAAGAGCAAAACTCCATCTCAAAAAAAAAAAAGCCTGTATGGGGCAAAAATCACAACAGAGAATACAAAAGCAGGAAGAGCCAAGACAGACATGGGCAGATTCCTTATGTCTGGAGGGACATGTGCCTCACCCACAGACTCCAGGTTCCTGTAGTTCTCCAACATCACTTCCCTGTATAAAGCCCTCTGTGCAGGGGTCAGGCATTTCCACTCCACCAAAGAGAATTCTATAGCCACATCCCTGAAGGTCAGGCGTCCCTAAAATGAAAAACATATTTCAACAAAACATTATGAAGGACTGAGTTATCACCTTCACACAAAATGAGAAAAGAGAAATTAAGTATCCATTTCATCACAAACTGTTCTGACAAACCCACATTAAGGTATTTTTGGACATTCTTTTCTCTATAGTTGCATTTTACTGCACTTTCTCATGAAACATTTTAAGATCCCCTAAGTCACTGTGGAAGTCTTGGTTTTATGGACAATATGAAAAATATACAAAGAAGAAGAAAACACTGGGCTGGGTGTGGTGGCTCATGCCTGCTATCCCAGCATGTTGGGAGGCCAAGGTGGGAAAATCATTTGAGGTCAAGAGTTGGAGACCAGCCTGACCAACATGGTGAAACCCTGTCTCTACTAAAAGTATAAAAATTAGTCGGGCGTGATGGCACTGCCTGTAATCCCAGTTACCCAGGAGGCTAAGGCAGAAGAATCACCTCAACCCAGGAGACAAAGACTGCAGTGAGTCCAGATTGCTCCACTATACTCCACCGTGGGTGACACAGACTCCGTCTTAAAAACAACAAAAAAGCAAGGCTGGGTGCGGTGGCTCATGCACGTAATCCCAGCACTTTGACAGGCAAAGGCCGGCACATCATAAAGTGAGGAGTTCAAGTCCAGCCTGGACAACACGGTGAAACCCCATCTCTACTTAAATTACAAAAATTAGCCTGTGTATTGGCACATGCCTGTAATCCGAGCTACGCAGGAGGCTGAGGTAGAAGAATAGCTTGAACCCAGGAGGCAGAGGTGTCAGTGTGTGGGTAACCTCCCATATAGGCACCGAGGAATGAGAGCTAAGCAGAGCCCTGGCACAGTTAGGGCTTGAGAAATATCTCACTTTATAGTGTTACTACTCAGCTATTTCCTTTTATATAATCTTTTACATAATCATACATTAGTTTGTAGAAATAGGGCTTGAAGTCTCCCTTTATATAATCCTCTACATATAATCATTAATAGTTGATAGTAGGAGTGCCTAAAGAATATTCCCTACATATATACCTATAATTATATCTTAGTTCATAATCAAAGGAATGCCTAGTGTGGACACAGTACAGAGTATGAATTAAGGAATAAGCAGCTTACAATTGGAGGAATGTCTGAAGCAGACACAGCGCAGAGCGTGATTTAAGGGAAAAACAGTTATACCAGGACAAGAATCCATGGCCCAGGCAGCAGCATTCAGTATTGTAAAGATACCCGCTGTATGGCAGGCTTGGGGCGAGAGCCACTCCTCCTGATAAAGGAGTTGTAGGACCTTGCTCCAGTTCTTGTGGAAGGCTGCCCTCAGACCGGCAATCCACCTTGGCGACTGTGAACTTTATCAACTCTTGCTACTGTGCTGCTTGAAAAGCATCTTCCCGGCCAGGCGCAGTGGTTCACACCTATAATCCCAGCACTTTGGGAGGCTGAGGCGGGTGGATCATGAGGTCAAGAGATTGAGACTATCCTGGTCAACAAGGTGAAACCCCGTCTCTGCTAAAAATACAAAAAATTAGCTGGGTATGGTGGTGCATGCCTGTAGTCCCAGCTACTCGGGAGGCTGAGGCAGGAGAATTCCTTGAACCCAGGAGGCGGAGGTTGTGGTGAGCCGAGATTGTGCCATCGCACTCCAGTCTGGGTAACAAGAGCAAAACTCCGTCTCAAAAAAAAAAAAAAAAGGAAAGCATCTTCATCTTCCAATAGAATCCATTGGAAGCTGCCAGAAGGTGGTGGTAACCTTGACAGCTCTGTCACTGCTATGTGACTTAAAGCATCCTCCCATTAATCTTCTTAGAAGTAGTTTTCCCATAGATAGAAGTATCGCACATGGCACCCTCTTCCCTGTGCATGGCCCACCTGCATTCCTCGGTGACCTAATGGGGGTGGACCCCTTACTGCACACGGCCCTTGCCTTCGTGGGAACGGGCCCCTTGCTGTGCGCTGTCCACCTCCTGGCCTAGGTGACCTAATGGGGGTGCACCCTATGTTTTATTGCTCACGACCCTATCACTATCCTTTTTTTTTTTTTTTTTTTTTTTTTTTTTGAGACGGAGTTTCGCTCTTGTTACCCAGGCTGGAGTGCAATGGCGCGATCTCGGCTCACCACAACCCCCGCCTCCTGGGTTCAAGCAATTCTCCTGCCTCAGCCTCCTGAGTAGCTGGGATTACAGGCACGTGCCACCAAGCCCAGCTATTTTTTTTATTTTATTTATTTATTTATTTTTTTGAGACGGAGTTTCGCTCTTGTTACCCAGGCTGGAGTGCAATGGCGCGATCTCGGCTCACCGCAAGCTCCGCCTCCTGGGCTCAGGCAATTCTCCTGCCTCAGCCTCCTGAGTAGCTGGGATTACAGGCTCGTGCCACCATGCCCAGCTAATTTTTTGTATCTTTAGTAGAGACGGGGTTTCACCATGTTGACCAGGATGGTCTCGATCTCTCGACCTCGTGATCCACCCGCCTCAGCCTCCCAAAGTGCTGGGATTACAGGCTTGAGCCACCGCGCCCGGCCCCCTATCACTATCCTTAAAGATGATTTCACTCACTGCCCTGCCCCCTAACCTATACACAGTAAATATTCATGCTTCTGGACATTCAGGGCCTCGCCACCCTTGGCCTCGTCAGCCTTGCCTCTCTGGCCTCGCCTGACTCCACTTATAGGTGGCGTGGCCCCCCGAGATCAGCTGCATTTTCTTTGTACTTCTGTGTCCTGTCTCTTTGTTTCTCGAATCGTGCGCCTCAGCACAGCATAAGGCTCACCCCACGACCCTGTGGGGCACACAGCCTTATATCTGGCTCCCAACGTGCCCTACATCAGTGAGCTGAGATCACAAGACGACACTTCAGCTTGGGTGACCGAGTGAGACTCACAAATAATTAAATAAACAAATAAATAGAAATACTGGCCACGTGTGGTGACACACGCCTATTATCTACCTCTTTGGGAGGTAGATCACTTGAGCACAGGAGTTTCAGGTTGCTGTAAACTCTGAATTTTGTCATTGCACTTCAGACTTTACCCACAGAGCGACACCTGCTCTCTATTTTTTTTTTTTTTTTTGAGACAAAGTCTCACTCTGTCATGCAGACTGGAGTGCAGTGGCATAATCTTGGCTCACCGCAACCTCCCCTTCCCAGATTTAAGTGATTCTCCTGCCTCAACCTTTGGAGTAGCTGAGATCATAGACATGCACCACCATACCCAGCTAATTTTTGTATTTTTAGTAGAAATGGGTTTCATCATGTTGGTCTGGCTGCTCGTGAACTCCTGAGCTCAAGTGATCCACCTGCCTCAGCCTCCCTAAGTGCTGGGATTACCAGCGACCGCACCCAAACCAAGATCCTGTCTCTTAAAAAAGATTTAAGTCAGAGACGTGTTGATCTACTAGTGTGGCTTCCACTGCATTACAAAATCAGATACAAAGTATCTCCCCTTATTGTTCTCCTTTTCCAGAAATCACCAGGTATCTGTGCACATTAACCTATGTGTTTCATACGGAGTTTCTCTGATCTGCTCACAAAGAGCTGATATCCAGATGTGGCCCCAAACCATCCAGGCTGCCCAGCAGCACTGACACCACAAGGCTCACACCCCGTGTCCATCGAGGTCTGGGTGTCAGCCCTTCCCAAGACCATGCCCAGTGGAGCCTCTTCCTGAGTTCATGTCACTGGGTCACAGGAGATGGAATCTCAGAGCAGATGATAGGAACTGATGGAAGACATGGGTGAGTGTGAGCCAACATGTGAGGCAGGACGCTTCAGACCCAGAACAGACTGCCTACTACAACACCTGGCATTTCAGAAAGGAAAGAGACAGATGAATCCACCGAGGAGTGTCACTTTACCTGAGGAAGAGCCATGCCTGGCTCCTTCTTTTTCCTCTTCTGAGCTCTTTCCTCACCCGAGTCTTTAGAAATCAATCCTGTACATGAAAACAATATAGGACGTAATGTTAGAAATGACTCACTCCCTTTCTGTGACAAAAATGCACACAGAGGGGACACCTGACCCTGTAGAAAGACAGACTTCTGCTGCCCACTGCACCAGAGATCATGCAGAGAGAAGAAAATCCCACAGGAACAGTTAGAAGTGTATGTTTCACCCTGGTCTTGAGATCTCACTCCCCTCCTGGAGAAGCCCCACACACCAGGCAGCAGTGGGGAGCTGGGCTGGACTGAGCTCCCCTTCAGGGCACAGACCCAGCCCTGACCAAACCCCATCCACAGCACAGTCCCTCCCCTCTCTGTGGATCACAGGCTCAGCTCAGCCCTCAAAAACAGAGGGCACAGACCCTTGACCCTCAGTGCTGCTCACAGATTACTATCACCTGGGACACTGTAGGTATTTGTGCCTCACTTTTCTGAAACCTGGAAGATCTCTCTGTGCTTCAAGTCTTTCTGCCTTTGCTTCAAGTTTTCCTGCCTTTCCAGACCAAACCGATGTACTTCTTACATATATTGGTATCTCATGTCTCCCTAAAATGTGTAAAATTAAGCTGCACCCCGATCACCATGAGCACATGTCGTCACGATAAGGCTCAAGGTGATTTGGGTCTCATCCCGTTTTTGCCCTCCTTGTGCTTTTTCTTTTTTAATTTTTGGAGGACTCGAATGTGTTTACAATTTGAGCTAAAACTGAGCACTGGCTGGGCGTGGTGGCTCACGTTGGTAATCCAAGCACTTTGGAGGCCAAGGCGGGTGGATCACCTGACGTCGGGAGTTCAAGACCAACCTGACCAACATGGTGAAACCCTGTCTTAAAAAATAAATAAATAAAAATAAATAATGAGCACTGGCAAGGCACCGTGCCTCACGCCTGTAATCCCAAGATGTTGGGAGGATGAGGTGGGTGGATCACAAGCTCAGGAGAGTGAGATCATTCCGGCAAACACGATGAAACCTCATCTCTACTAAAAATACAAAAAAATTAGCCAGCCATGATGGTGGGTGCCTGTAATCCCAGCTACTCAGGAGGCAAAGGCAGGAAAATCGCTT